TATCTATCTATCTATCTATCTATCTATCTGTCTATAAGCTGCGTTTGGGTTTCTGACAAGGCATTACTGTGAATTGTGGTTTACTTTTGAAATTTCCCTTCAAACAACATCATTCAATTAGTATTGAGCTTTATATGGATGCTACTTGGATAACTTGGCCTTGTGTTTTTTAGAACAAAGCAGGGCTCATCACTAAGAGATAAACCATTTATTTATTCAAAATTAAATAAGCAGAACGTGCATAGTAGCCTTCAGGTTTTTTAAAATTTTTTAAGCAGTGCTTTTATTGACCTCTATATGACCTTGTTGGGGCGTTTTTTAAAAGGAAAGTGGTTTGCTGAGAGATTTATGTAATTAGTTCTTTATTAACATAGAAATGTGCTGATGAAATTTCATGCAGAAGAACACCATTCTGTCTAACCTTTCTTTTGGAAACATGTCCTAATGTTTTTATTGTGTTTTCTGATTCAAGTCATGTTTAAACTTAGCTAAACAAAATACATCCCACCTGTCTGTGTGAGTGGGCGCATCATAAATCAGTCACATATAGATTTTTCAATGCCAGGGACCACGAAAAACAGGTCAGTCTTTGCTCATGAAATGCATATAAAGAACACGCCACACCATGTCACTTGTCATTATAGCAGATTGTTCATTTTTCAAGTGCTTTTTCATACCGTTGTGGGAGGATGACACCTTGCAGTCTGGTTTTGAAATAGGAGTAGTTATGGCAGGCGAAGTCGTGACACGTTTGAGAACTACAAATCTTTAGGTTGACATTTTACTGTCATTTAACACAACCTGAAGGGACAATAAGAAATCTTGATCCTTCTTTTACCTCAGTGTATTTTAACAATATGCAGTGTAACAACAAAAAACCTTAATTTTATTTAACCTTAATTCTACCTGACTATTTTATTCAAACATTGGAAAATTAAAAAAAATCTCATAGGTAAACTTTAATATTTATTTATAGTATTGTTTTTTAGTAGTACCGGACTTTTAGTATTGATTAACTTTATCAACCGACAGGCTGTTTGTTTACACTCCCCCACCAGCTTTCTGTCGCGCTTACTACGTCAAAGTCAGTTCCTCTCATTGGTCAGAGCGTTGGCCAATAGGCACAGACATGGTTTGAAAAACAACGAGTTGTTCTCATCAACAATCTTCCGATGTCTCATTCATCGGGGCAAGACTAAATTATACATTTAATCTCACATTTAGTCTGGTTCATCAGGCTATGAAATACTAGCACTAGAGTGGAAATTATCGTCTAAGAGGTTCAGGGGCCTACAGAATTCTGTGAAAGCACAAATCTAAGTGTAACAAGAGAATAACTTCAATACTGCATAACTTTGCAAAAAACAAATAGCTGGAAGTAGCATGACATATAATAATAATTAACGTTATTTTAACCTGGAGAGACACATATAGAAAAAGCAGCAATTCGAAAGCTGTATTGACACTTTGAAATCTATGTTTTTGGCTCTCAGACTCCAGCAGAAGATGTTGGTGCTCAATCCCCTTGGATAGAAATGTCTTTTCCCCCAGAGTCTGACCCTGGTGGTTGAATATAGACACGGAAGAATGAGGGGAGGCATAGGGAGGCCAGTGGAATAAGTTGATGTAATGAGTTGATGATGTAAGTCGTTGGTTGGATTGGGAGCTTCAAGTGCAGAATTTTGAAGGATGATTGACCGAGGTGAGGGCTGGGAGCGGCACCAATAGGCTAGAGAAGGGGCACACACGGAGGAAATTGGTGGGCAGGTAACAGTCTTCAACCACTTTTTAAATTTACAATATGATGGTGTCATACTCATGAAATAGTCACAAAACTTAAACAACTGAACAACTTTTAGCTAGGAAATAGTTATTTATGATGTACAGTGCAGTAAAAAAATCCAAGAAGAATTGTTGTTTTTTTTAATAAAATTTTTATTATTACCATTGTAATATTTTCTGTATACAAGAATGTGTAACAAAAGCCGAATAAGCAATACATTTTAGTCTTTTAAAAAATGGTAAGGCATGTCTGCTAGTATAACCACCGACTTTAGTTCCCCCAAACACTTTAAACAGCGTGCACTGAACAGTTTCAAAAAATTGTAACGTGCTCCCTAGTCATAACGTTTTTGCAAGTCACAAAAGTACCACACTCATAGCATTTGTTTAGCAATAGTGCAGCAAATGATTTTTGCTGAAATGAAAACACATAACAAACTGTGTTCTAAACATTGAGTAAAAATAAATCAGACACTGTTGATTACAGTCTTCTCTTTTTTTGAATGGTGAAATAATCCAGAAGGCTGATAATGATTTATTTATGGGTCATGGATAAATAATCTTTGTAGTTCTGGCGAGAATAACTTCAACATGTCAAGAAGGATTGGAATAAAAGAAGGTAGCAGAGAAAGCCATCAGCACATTTTATCATTGTGGGAAAACACCAGCTTTCTTAAGATACAAGCTCTTTGGAAAAACTGGACCAGGCTGTGATTCTCAATTCACTTTCACTGTTGTGTTTTCAGCAACCCCAGCAAAGCCCAGCATTATCCTCACTCATCCTCAGCTCTGATGCAATCACAGCTCCAGCAAAGGCTCTAATGGGTACCTTCAACCTTTGTGTGGCTGCAGATGCTTATTGTGTTTCTAAACTGCACAAAAACATATTTATTAAGACTCAACGATAAAGATCAAACAGGACTAGTATTTGACAGTTATCAGCTGACTTTCTGCCCTTTTTAAACTTTAGTTTGTGACTCTTAGGGCCTGACTCAGAAACCTGCCTAAGGTACGTTTTTATTTTTTTAAAACTTTCAAATGAATTATTTTTTCACTGTTACCTAGTATATTGCACATATCAATATTCGTTTGATTTGCCAAGCATAAAGTCATCAGGGTAATGGTTTCTGAACCCGGTGCTGTTTCTGCCAGCTTGAATCTCCTTAGGAAAAATACCAAAATTACGGCAAATTAGATATTTTCTCATGTAAATCACATTTTACATAAATTGGTATTGATGAAACAACATTCTAGGTTTGCAGATAATCAGCCACACAGCTTAGAAAAAACAATATTTGCCTTTTATTGGATCTTTCACAAATGTCTCGCTTATAATCAGGTCAAGAAAAGTCAGTATTGCACATCACAGCAGACTCCACATTCAGCTCTTAGGACTTTCCAGGGAAAGTTTTTCATCACTCTGACCAAATAAAGCACCATCAGCTGTTTTTCTTCTCTATAAGTGTTCTGGATTTTTTACTTTGACTTCTACCAAATACGACTGGGTGATCAAACCTTTTACCAGATCGAAATAGAGTGCAATGCAGCCACCAACTTCTGCATGAAGGCTAATTCAAATCTCAGTGATGAGTCAGTTGTGTTCATGTGCTTAGGATCCAGGCTCAGACATGGAAAAGGGCTTACTAAGTCACCCTTGCATTCTTCTCTGAAATTTACTTGAAATGTTCAGTCAATCAAACTGGATTCTTTGACCCAGTAGTGGTCTACAAGAGAAAGAAGACCAAGGACATGGAGGTGGCCTTATCCTCCTCATGCTCCAATAACGTTGATGCATCAAATGTGGGTGCATCTCTACCCCCATACATCTCATCCTTCTAGATTCTTAAATTTAAGACAATTTGTTGGTTGGAAAGTGTTTTAGACCACCACTCTTTTTCTTATCTAAAACTTTTAAATGACCAGAGACGTGCTGATTCAAGCACAACCCACATAATAGTAACTGTCTATCCAAAAGCACTCATGTTTTTTCAGGAAATGTAAGATAAATTTGTAAATTTTTTATTTTCTTTGGCAAAGCTGCCAATATTAGAACGTAAAAACACAATCTTGAGCATCAAACACACACTCTCTTTACTAGAAATAAAACAAGCAAATAAAGTATATTAAGACTTAATCATAGTCTGACTTAAAAATCATAATGTGAACACAACCACCAATATTAATTTAATCTGCATCCCATTGAATGGCTTGCAGGAGTCAGCATATTAAATAATAAAAGAAAGGATGCCACCTCTGAAACCATTGGTTTACTCAGTTATAAGGCTTTACAATCTTAGTTCATAATTACAATTTTTCTTCAGTGCAGGCTCTGAAATGAAAATATGCACAATTTTCTTCCTTCTACTCTTCCTCAGCCACATTTTGTTCTTAAAAATGTTAAAATGCCTCATGATTAAAAAGCTGTCGGCTTTTTGCAGTATATAATCTGACCTCCCTAACCCACACCATCAATTCATTTCAAGCTCAGTCACAAATCTTTAAACCCATCAAATATTCTGATCTAATTATGAAAGTTAATATTTGAGTCACATCTTTTGTATCAGCGATGTATTTCTCTTTGTCAGATGGAAGGACTGTTGAATGGTGTAGTTGATTTTCTTTTATTTTTTAATACGGTGAAATCTCTTTCTGCATTTGAAGCTTTATAACACATTCTAACAAATGAGGACTTTGAAGTCTTATTCCTTGAAAAACCATATCTGGTATTACTTTGCTGTTTCAATCAAATTCTCTTCACAATCACTGACGCGTTAGGATTACTGTACTTATATCACACTCTCTTGTCCAGCAGCCTTTTCCTCATGTCTGCAGGGTGGCATGTTGTTCTTTAATAGAAGATATTCTACTTGTCAAAGCCAAAGAAATTTAAAAAAGTGCATCTACCCACCATTTTTAAAGATATAATCTTTGCATCCGATACCATTTGTAGCTTTGTTTTAATTCTTTTACAACTTTGAAATTTCTTATTCAGATTGTAAAAACGTCTGAAGGTAAACTTTTCTTAGCTTGTTAAAACCTTTTCTATCAAAGCCAGGAAACTAGTCCATTGGCTATCTAAAGCACCCAAACTTTTTGGAATGTGTTGCAAGCTTGAAATGAAGGAAAGTGCATGCTACCAAACAAAGTAGACTTCACAATTTAAAATATTAACAATCTTTATATCATCTGGAGTGGAGAGCACGCTATTAATTACGTTTGTACAAACCACTTCCCTCTTTGTCTTTTTTATCAGTCATAACATCCAGATCTTGACTTTATAGCTAAAATTTTGATTTCACTAACTATGAAACACTGGGTATGATTTTTGCTTATTCCTTTCATTTTGCACTACTTAAAACAATCAGGGACAGTTGAAGTGTACTTGGATTTCTAACTTTTACTCCACAGATTTACCTTTGGACAGTTTGACATTGGGGAGGACCTTATGTTAATCACTGCAGCATCTTTCCTCAGGCCTCTGCTTGTTGCATTCTACAATTAAGGTTCATGCCTCAGTGCCTTCATCATGCCATGCTGGTTTTGTTGGGTAGGTGGGTGTTAATCAGTCACTTTCTCCTAAATAGATTTCGGCAAGGAGTGAATTTAAAGAGGTCAACAGTTGTGTCGTGGGAGCTTCCTGTGGCTTTCAGGGCCTTGACTGTGAGTCACACAAGCACACTGAGGACAGATTTCCCTTCTGGTGCTCTGTGTGAAATCAGCTGTGATGCTTGCGTAAAATTTGTGCTTGATACTTTTTGTTGATTCTCACCCTGTGGTGCCTTCAGGTAAGGGCAGATATATACAGTCCTACAGTATCCTCCTTTCTACATACTGTTGGTTAAACATAACCTCTGAGATATTTTAAGCTGCTGTTAGGACCTTCACTTTAAATTTTTGTTCAAAGTGAAAAGTTCTGCAGCGTTTCTAAACTTAATGTTCATGATAATGGCACACATTTCCTATTTTAATAGAAAGGTTTAAAAAATTTGTTCTAGAGGGAAATTACTTAATGATATTCCTGTGTCTGTTGTTGTATTCACACGAAAAACTGAATCTGCATTAGAAAATCCTGCTTACCTATTAATGCAATAAATTGAAATTAATGTGCACATGATAATAGATTCTAACCTGTTTAAAATCAACAGTAATTGTTTTAATTAAATTCCAAGTCATCTTAAAACAACCATTGAAATTCCCTCTATGTCCTCATAAATCTTTGGGTCACTGTTTTTCTAGAATCTAATTTCATGCTGGCGCCTGTTAAAGTAGAAAGTGTTTCAAAAACAATACCCCCTACTATAGGCATGACAGGGAAAAATTATTTGCACATCTGCTGGTGTGTTGTGCAAAGATTTTAAAATGAAAAAGTTGTGATGTAGATGTGTTAATACAAACAGAACAAATAACAAGCCCAACGGGTGAGCGTGTGCACAGGGCCTTAATTTGTTACACTGATTCCTTTGGAGAGGTCAGTGCTGTGATAATGATCCTGTGTAATGTGGAAACAGCTTTCATTGGTCATTACTTGGTTGGTTTTCAATCCTGCAGAAGCAAACATGAGAGCAAACACATTTTTTTTTTTTCATCTTTTGTGCAAAATGTTAAAACAAATCTCCCATTGTTAATTTAAGCAGCGGGTCTGTGACACTTTCTAAGGCTAACCTTTTCTGCATGACCAGGGGTCTCAGGTGCTGTGTTTCTGGAACAGAGGTTATTTGCTTTACACACTAAGCCTTTACAGTCCGTAAAGGTCAAAGCCTATAGGGGACAGACTGAAGGATAAAAGTAGTAAGTCCAAATTTTTTAGTTCTCAATGTCCCTAACCTTGGCAGTCCTTTTCTTTTAGAGGTGACATTGTACATGCCATATCAAATTACGCAAAAATGCAAGGTTGTAGGATGGGCTGGTTTGCTTCTGCTGCTCAGACAAAAACATGCTAATTTCAGCGTTGTGCTCATTCTTATCGTTGAAATCCAGAGAAATAAATTAACTTAATATTCCTTTGCAATACATCTCTCTTTATTTGCCTTTCCAGTCTTCTGGGGATAAAAAGAAATATGTAAGTGCATGTTAATGACCCCAAAAAAGGTTGATTAATAATCTTTGCAGGCATTTGTAGGATAATGGCTTGATATTGTTATTGAAAGATTTTGTAACATAAAAATTCTAATGAAATAAAATATATTTAATATCTCTATAGAGATGAAGTTTTAACCTAAACCAGTGGATCACATTACAGTACAATCCTACATACTGTAACCACTTAAAGAACAATACAATCAACCTAAAGGATCTGAAAATAGAAATCTTTTTTTAAATATATTTATATAATGGGTGCCTTTTGCAGCTTTATAAACAAGCCAAAAAAATAATAATCTGTGCAAAGTAGTACCCTTAGTGCAGCAATTTTAGCACTTTTGCAGAGATAATCAGGTGTGCATCAACAAAGTGGCTGTAAGATTTGCTGCTTCCTCAAGCAACAATGATATGACTTAAGAGGAAACTTAATGAAGTGTCTGGGCTCTATGGTACTTTGCAAAATAACAAGAAAACAAACAAAAAAGCTTAAACATTGAAGGCTGGAAACATAAAATAAAATAAAATCTGAACAAATAAAAATAGTAGAACTCAACAATGTCTGTTTTCATCACACTCATGCATGCACACATCAAATCTTTCAGCCATTGTCTGAGGAAAAGAGAACTAATAGGATAACAATGGTGTTGTCTTATTTAATTTCATCACACAAAGGAAGAAAAAATAAAGGTTTTCTTTTTATCTGAAAAATCACTGATAGAGCCATGTGAACATAGTTTGGATTCCTAAAGGAGAAGCATGTTTTTTAGAGCTCACATGATGATGAGAAAACACCACATTTTCATATTTTCAGAGATGGTAAAAGCTGCTTCACTGATGGCAACGGACATTCTTTGGGGGACAAGCAAGATTCAGCACTGCATTCACTTCCAACCTTACCACACCATATAGTCAGCCATTCTTGACATGTTTCCAGGAGGTTCTACATGTCCAGTGAGGAAACAGCAGGGTAGCTGTGAAACATACTGCTAACAGTATAAGAGTCAAAGATCAGGCCACACTGTATTATCTCCATTGGGTCTGTGCTGCCCAGAGTGGGAATGTGAGGGCACCCATCACCAGCATTGTGGAGGGTCCACAGGAGAATGACTGGCCCGCAGCAGCAGCTGCCGCCCGTTCATCGCTTCTGTCAGGTCCGATCACTGGAGCTTCTGTTACTACTAAAACAAACTCTGTCGTGCAGCCATCAGAACATCCACTTCCGCTTCCGGAGCTACTGCCCTCGTCACCTGCAACAAAAAAATGTAAGCCAAATTTGAAAATGAGAACAGATAGCAATTATTTAACTGCATTTGTTTTCTTTTCAAGCTTTACAAAGTATAAGATGGGCTTACTAACTCATGATGTTTTTGAATAGTTGGAAGAATGAGTTGATAAAGTAAGGGATCATTTCTAATAATGAGTCAATTAATAATAATTAATAATTGAACATCATTGATCTCACAATGGAGAAATTCATCTCTGCATCTTAACACATCCCCTTGGGGAAGAGTGGGCTACTATGTGTGGCACCTGGGGAGCAATCAGGGGTTAAAGGTTTTGCTCACGAACCCAGAGTGGAGGCTGCACGGACCGTTCCGGTTACTTGCCACCTTCTCAGAGCACAAGCACACTGCTCTAACCACTAGGCCACCGCATCCCAAGCTTTACTATTCTGGTAACATTTTAGAACCAGATTAGAATGGACAATACGGAGGTGTGAACCGTTCAACATGTAACAGAAAACAGTTGCTTCCACGATGCCAATTTATTTCTGATAATGGAGACCTAAAATGGAACTATCCCACTTGTCTTTTATGAAATAAATAAATATTAAATCAATTATCTTTTTGCTAATTATTTTTTTAATCCAATAATTCATACGTTATTCATAAACAAGCATGCAAAACAATTGCAAAATGTCATTAAGAGTAGTGGCAGTGTAGCTCTCAAAGTTTATGATCATCTTTCTTTGGGCCAGAAAGACTATAAGTGTTGTAATTGCACGTTTCATGGCTTTTGAATTTACTTGTCTTTGTCAACGTCTAAATTGCTAAATTCCTCTGGCGTCACTTGTGTCTTATATCCCTATTTTTATATTCTCCTCTCTCTTTCCCTTCTGCTACACCACACTCTTCCAAATTATCAAATTTACTAGGTTAAAGTAAAATATAAAATTATTCTTGTTTTGTCTATTGTCTTGCTGTTACTAACTGGCATTTGAGTCAACTCTTTAATTTAGAGCAATCTGGCAATTTGACCTTATTCTATTTATAGGTGTCCTTTTTAGCAGACACCATGCAGCCAGTCAGGTTCGAGTATTCACCCAGATCACGGTATAAAGCTTGTTAGGCCCTAAATGGCGGCCTGTCATAGAATCAAAAATGTTTTCTAAATTAGTGACAGCATCCTACTAAGAGTTATCAGGTTGCACTGACAACACTGCTTGATGGTGTTAATGATGAAACTGAGTGAAGAAGAATCGTGTGTCTATTTCTAGTGTCTGTAAGGTTTCTAAATAAAAGTCATGAATGTCTGAAAGTATGTCAGAAACTGGTGTAAACTACCTAGAGAAGGTTGAACCAATAACTACAAAGTTTCTCTGTTATTAGAGTTTGAGCTAAAGTCTGTCTTAGAAAATGCTGGATTTAGAAAAGTTTGCATCCTAGGAACACAGTTAAGGTTAGGATATACTTTCTTGAGCCTATACTGATATAAAGCGCAATTTAGCTAGCTGCTCTAACCTCAGTATTTATAATAAGAACATAGCGCATTTTTAAAATATCAACAATTTTACAGCAACTGCTCTATCACAGTGGCATGATACCATCTCGGCTCCTACAATACATAATTATATCTTCTTTAATATTGAAGTCCTTGTAATTTTAATGAGCTAACAGAAAAAACAGAACAAAACTGTAGACTGTAAATTAGCCACAAACGTCTTATTAAAGCAGCATTAATTTCCATTCTCATTATCTAAGCTGACCAAGTGGTTTATCATAAACTAATTTTTGAACTCTTCTGATCTCTCTGGGTTTTGGTTTTACTTTGTCGCTTCTAGTTTTGTGTGCCTAAAATTACAGCATTAATACATACTTTAAATAGTTTACATGCACTTCCACTGAGGATTCCAGCAACTACAAATCTAAATGTACTTTATAAGAAAGAAACTTAGGGAATCTGCTAAAGAATGCATGGGTGAGCTAGAAAGCAGAAAAATAGAATATAATGCAAATTATAATGCAGGAGAACAATAATGCAGAATAAATAAATTACATACCAGTAATAAAGAACTAAAGCTTTGAAATAAACCTTACCTAACCTTTTATGTTGTTATAGAATTCTTTTAAATTTTAAGGTGTTTTGTGTTGTTAAGTTTTCTGTCCAGTTGTCTCTGAAAAGCCAAAAAACCTACAGTGACACATTCATTTATGATGAAAAAAAAGGAGCAAAAAAATTATGTTGCACAATAAAGAGTATTTTTCCTTATAATTTGCTAGATGCCAGTCTGAGATTCTCTGGTCCTCTGTTGGTAAATGCCATGGTAATCCTACAGGTTCTATTTGCAGGGTTTGGTACACGCATCCAGCTCAAACAAAGCAGCCACTGTGAGGGAAAATATCTGGAAGAATGCACTATAATTACCTGAAAGGTCTCATATTTAAAAAAAATACATTTTAAATAGATCTCTTAAATTGTATTTTAAACTTGTCATTTAATGTATAGCATAGGTGTGTAAATTATAATTGTTTTGTATCGATGCATTGATCCAACAGCCGACGACACGATGAGTCGAAACGTCTGCAAGTGTATCGATTAATGTTTTTCTTTCCGCCGGGCTTTTTTTTTATCCACCTGCTCCTGGACATAATTCTGACTCCCTAAACCTATTTTGCCCTCCTACCTTGCTTCCTTTAGCCACTACCCTCTTTCCACTTGCAGTATTTTTTGATGCAAGGCCTTTCAGAATCTATAACACAGAGGCATTATTATTTTTCAGTGAATGAGGTTTTCATAGGCCTAGGTGGAGTACAACTTTGCAACTTCTGTTATTTGCTGTTGTTTCTGAAATAAAATGCATATAGATATTTCAGCTTTCATTGATTTATTTCAAATTTGAATTTTTTTTTTAACCAATTTCTCGAAATTAATCATGGTGGGCTGCTCAGTGGGTTCGATTCCTGGCCCGGGGTCTTTCTGCATGGAGTTTGCATGTTCTCCCTGAGCATGTGTGGGTCCAAAAACAGTCCAAAAACATGACTGTTAGGTTAATTGGCTTCTCTAAATTCTCCTTCGGTCTGTGTGTGCATGAATGGTTGTTTGTTGCCAGTCCATCGCATTGCCCTGGGATGGACTGGCGACCTTTCCAGGGTGTATCCCGCCTCTCGCCCATTGACCACTGGAAATAGGCACCAGCACCCCTAGTGACCCCAGCTGGGATTAAGGGTGTTAGATGGATGGATGAATCATGGTGTATTCTTGGGTATAGAAAATGATCGAATCGTTGGGTCAGGAAATTGATACTCGATCGAATCGCTATGATGGATGTGATTTACACCCAAGCTGCATCAGTTCAAACAAGACCTTTTGACTTCTTATTCTCGAAAATAATAGGAATTTTTTTGAACAGCAGTTATAAAGAAATGCTTGCTTGTTGTGGCTGCTTTGTCATGGTAAAATTTGACATGCTGCTATAGCTGTGTTAATTGTGCTTTGGTGCTCGCTATCTCCATAAAATAAACTTGGTGGTTGAATTGTGGAGAATATAAGCTTTCTAAGGATGTCTAACATGTCTATATTTGTGTAGTTTACAAGTGAAATTTTCATGCATTCTGAGTTATTATTTGTAAATGCTTTAAAACGGGTTTTGAGAGGTTAAAAAAATTTAAACAATTGACTGGACCTACAGCTGCATTAGATCTTAAGAACTGCATGCAGTACATGCTTCCTTTGTATTAATGTTCACTATGGTACGGATGAAAATAAAATAAAAAGCAAAAACTTTCTATTCTAGCTCTACGTAATATCTTTTAGCATTTTGGAGAAACTCTCAGTCCAGTTTGTTGTAATTTAGTTGCATATTTCTCATGTCAAAGATAATGAAAATTCTTACTACAAGACATGTAGAGCTTTTTTTGCCCTGCATGACAAGATCTGTTTTTATATATATTTAATTAGTTGATCCAAGATACAGCTATAATTGAGACTGAACTTGCATGTATGGAATACTCTTTATGCAATTTTCTTTTCATATTTCCCCTGTGAAGCATTAACACATTTAACAATCTATTCCCACTGAATACTGCTAATGTTAAGAAAAACATAATGTATTATTGGTTTTCACAGAGACACAGATGTTTTCTTTCAGGCTCAGAGTATTTTACCATCTTGTCAGCACTAGCAAAACCACAGAATCAAACATGACAGTTTCTGTCACGACAACATGTGAGATGTACATCTTCCTAAATGTGGGCCTGGCTGTCTATCATTGGTGGTTTCTCCTCACCTTGAGCTATTTATTCTCCTAATAATATATGCCTTGCCTCTGTGATGCTCTGAACATCCACTGCCGTTGGTGACAAGTTCCAGCAAGAATGAAAAATGAGATGTTGTTTCTGTAGTTTGTGTATTTTTTGAGACTGCTGTTTGTCACACGGTGTAAATCAAAAGTAATGTGCAGTGAAAGAAGGAAATAGAGAAGCCTTGTTCCATATCTGAGGACTTACTGGAGTCCTGAAAGGAGATGTCATTTCCATTGTAGGCATTCTTTAGCTTGTTGGTCATGACTCGTAGAGTCATGATCTGCTGCCGAATCAGTGTGTCCGGTCGGGTGATGTCCAAAATCACCTCTGGATTGTTCACCTGGTTGGTGAGACCCTCCTTAACCACTTCAGGGAAATATCTAAAAACAGAAGAAAAACAACCAAAAAAACACACAAACATTAGAGACGAACATTTTGATTAAGATTTTTAATCCTAGCACATATGTAAAGGAGCAAGGTAAAAAGGTGGAAATAAATATCTACATACAATTTAGGGCTGGATGCTTAATTGATTTTGACTAATAATTGACTAAAATTCAATTATTTTAGTTCATAGAAAAGATTGGTGCAGCTCGAATGTCTTGAAGTCTCTTATTAAACCCAAATAGTTCCCTGGTGAAAACATGAGATTAGAATTCCTCCTATGGAAAATGTTCTCAGACACTCCCAGAAATACTGTGGAAAGACCAGAATGGCTTTTCTCAGGACCTCCAGTCTTAGCAATGTTTCAGCAGATGGGCAGAACTGTGATGCTCCTGATCTTTTAAAAATGAAATTCACGTTTAATGACATTTGATATCCGGAGCAATTGGGTGTAAATGCAGTATAGGTTGTCCTACCAGCCACTGTTTGCAGCCAATGCCTTTTTATTTTAAGTGATTTCAATCCTGGATACATAAATCCCTTTGGTTCAACTGTTTGCATTGGCTTAAACATTTTTTTCTTCAACCCTCCTTTTTCCAATCTTTGCCACAAGTTATTCCCTGCCAGCAGCAAGACAACAGAGTGCAAATCCTACTTGTGTCTAGACCTTGTAGAAAAGTTTTTTTTTTGTTTCCTGTGAAGCTTTTTACTTACCTTGCTTCTCTGTCTGTGCCCTAGATACTCTGGGACAACTTCTTTGTGATTCTACCTGCCTGTCTGCTCACACTCAGCTTGAACTGAATCACATCTCCTTTTCATTGCTTATTGTCGAATACGCTGCTTATTTCTTTTTAGCTTTCCCTAGCTCTATTTAGAGAAAGTATTAACAGTTTTTTTTGTCCTGTTTTGAAATGCAATATTGGCAGTTTAAAAAGGGGCATTGCTGCAAACTAAAACCTAATTAAAAAGTGAGTCATAGTATTAGTCCCAAATAAAATATACCTCTCAATTTAACACACGCATTTGTTTTAGACTCTAAAATGGTTTAATTACAAAAAGAGGTAAGTAAAAGATCAAGGTACTGAGAAAGGTGTTCATGATTAAAAGGCGGGTAGGTCTAAAAATAACAATTATTCTGGACTTTTCTTTATTCAAATTTGTTATTATAAATTATTATTATTATAATTATTCTTTTTATGTAGCAAAGTACAATCATTCTTAAACCACAGCTGAATGAGGTCATCCTTAATTCTTGGACACAGTTAACATAACTGGGTCTTTAATGAGCATAAAGCACATTGAATTTAGTTATACTGTATATTAAATAAATAATGAAATAAAATATTTTGGTACTTACATTAAAATGCTTTTTTTATATTGTGGTAGTGGATGCTGCAATTCTAGCACATCTAGACTATCTGTTCCTGCCTTAAAGGGGTGAAGAATACACAGCCTGTTTGTTTAGACTTTGATTAGGTGGCCACATGTTGTTTTGAACCCTTTCAATGGGAGACCTCCTGGTGGGCCTCAGATCGTTGTTTTTCTGTTTCAACAAAGTGCATTTGAGTTTAAGTTCATAAACAGATGGATTCTTATTTGGGGTATTCTGGTTAAGTTCATGGTTCAATCAATTACTACAATTCATCCTGGTCCTGAAGCAGCAAAGTAGCCAAACGTAAACATACTCCCTGAAATTGTTTTTAAACATCCTATTCATGCCATATGATGCATTTTTTCACCCTTATTTTTTATTAAGTTGATAGGTTTTTTTTTTTTTTTTTTGTCATCGGTCTGTATAAAGAAAGCATGGTTACTATATAAAAATTATAAAGAATTCCTGATGGCCTGGCTGGTGTTTCATTATCAATTCAACTACCAGATTTAGAGCAGTGCTTAAAATGGCACTGGCACCAGCATATATTTTTTATTGCACCATCTGGTGATTTTGTTACTTGGAGAGGATCGAAGCGAGAGAGTGATACATGTTCCCTGCCAGCATCTCCAGTTCACTGTTGGAAAGAGCTACTTTTTGACCAATCAACTGTCAGTCTCAGGGCTACTTTACAAGCTGCTCGGGTGACAAGAGGTTTTTGAAGCACCACAGTCCTTCGAGTATTAGAGCCTTGGAGATTATGCACGGCAAAAGTTCTCCATATCAGTGCTAACCATTGTAGTTTCAGAGAAACTGCTAATCTTTGAACAGAATGTGGTTATTTTAATCCATGGCAGGCAAAATGTGATAAAAGCTGTTTGATTCTTTTTTTTTTTTTTATTGGAGCTGTTGAGTCCTCACCTGCCCTTTGTGTGGCTGTTCCAGCACTGTTCTTCATCAGACGCTGACAGTTTGCTTTCTGCACAGATGTCATCTGGTAATTTCGACCAGAATCTCTTGGACTCCAGTAACTTGTCTTTGATGTCAATCACCTGCCGTTGGCCAAAAACATGGAAAAAAAGAAAAACAAAAAACACATTGAGATCCTAATTAAATCTAAAACTGGAAAATAAAGATCCAAAACACAATTTAGCTCATCAATAAACAAATAATAACACAACAACAAGGTATAAAATATGTTTATTTGGGGGTGTAGCAGTCATGAACCAAGTTTGTCTCCTTCATAATACTTTCTGTTATTTTATTCCATTAAATGAGAATTACTGACTGACAACAGTTTGTTCATCCTTTTTTTCTCCAGCCCCCCTTCATATTCAGTTGATCTTTGAGTCATACAAGACAGATTTGAGGTTTCAAATCTGGTATTTGGAATAAGTGGTTACCCCCAACTGATTCCATCTGGGCTCGACAAGAAGCCTGAGCGGATGAGCAGCAAGCAGGAGGAGAAGAAAATAGCCCAAATTGTCACACACCAAAACATCTTATGTTTCCTTTTTGTTCTATTTTTTCAATTAAAAAAAAACAAAAACAAATTAAGACTAAGTAAAGATTTCATAAGATTTGCAGTAGTGTATTGATGAATTGAAGAGGGAATGAGTACTGCATTACAGCCAAAAATACACAATAATCATAAAACTTGATTAATCCTTTTTTATTGTTAAACCAAAATCACAATATGTTTGAGGATGATGTCTTCTAGTTTAAATAAAGATGGTCAAAATAATTTTTTTCATCTCATAAAAAAACAGACCTGTCCAATTAAAGATGATCTAAAATGACCTTAAGTAATACATAGGACCAAAATGTTGTTGGAATATGACTTACTGTAACTTATTTCTTTGAGAATTAAACTAATGTCTCTAAAGGGTTGAGTGTGTCTGATCTGCCTTCATTTGCAAAATTCAAAAAACTAAATCCAAGAAAGCTTATATTGTCTTTCATCAGTGTCTTAAATTTAATGACTCTTTTAGCTCCTTGTTGAGAATGATTGCTGAGATGATATCATCACATACATTACAACTAGAATCATTCACATATTACTTGAGCAAAACAGGCAGGATCACAATTTTTCAAAATATATATATATATATATATATATATATATATATATATATATATATATATATATATATATATATATACAGAGAAAGACAGGTGACAAATTCATCCTGTCTCTGACTGACTTAATATATACTTTGGTGAGAAAATCCTTTGTAGGTGGGCCTCAACCTTCTACGTAAAATTCTATTGCTCTTGGCTGTGTTTCAATTCTCCTGGTAAATTGTTTTGGACTCGAACCAATTTCAGCTGCTGAATTGTTCAAGGCTCAGCAAAGTACAAACTAAAAAAAGTATCAGTCCTACAGAATGTCCTGCCATATATTGGATAAAACAACATCACCAGTCTGGATCCTTGATGTCAAACTACAGCTGAGTTTTTAAGGTATTCAGATATAAGCTATTTCTTTGAGCTTCAGCTAATTACTGCTTACCTGTTTCAAATCTTTAATTCACATGGCCATGGCTGTGCTGTTCTATTCAGAATTTACCTTTTTTATTACGTCTCTTTAAAATAGAAGCTAATATGGAAAAGAAACTTTATACCTCCCTTTGTTTCTCCTTTTTTCTCCTTTTTTACAGCCTCATTAATTAAATAGTGACAAGTGAGTGACATAAACTAAAGACTTTTAGCTCTCATTTTTCTCTCAGTTGGTTGAAAGGCTACATGAACAGATGGAGCGCGCTCATGTGACAGAAAGATTAATCTGCTGACATACAAGCTCAGTAATGACCAAATATGAACTTGGAGGTTAAAGACCAAGAACTAGTTGCTGGGTCAGTTTAACTTGTAACGTTGGCTTAAAATAACATTTCCTTTTTAAATATCTCTATCATGCTTACTTGACAAGTATATCATCTGTATACTCAATTTGACATATTAGGCATTTGGTCATTTTTATTTGAATTTCAAGATGTGCGGAATTAAGCCAAACAATGGAGAATACGCACTCCTGTTCAGGAAAAACAAAACAAAAAACTTTTTGTTATCATTGCAGCTATAGCAAGATCTCATGTAAAAAGTTACTGATATATCTAAAAGTAAACATATTTCTCATCTTGCTAAAAAAGCTGTCCAAATGGTGTCAGCATTTAACTAGTCAGTGGAAAACAGGCAGGATCACAATTTTTCCCAAGCATGACAGAAATCGATTTTGTTTAACACTAAGTGCAATTAAAGTCTTACAGCAAATTCTCACTTTTAATCACATACATGCTGTCTAAACTTCTAAAAATAGTGCATTACTGTAGGTGGGATTTAAAGCCTGCATTGTTTGTTCTTAGGCTTATTGTAATTAATAAGGATTAAAAAAATCATGTTTTCCATATTTTTAAAACAGAATTTCATCTGGAATATTTATCCTTGAATAAATATAAAAGTTAATATTATATACGATAAAAACTACTGTACTGATCAAAGCTATAGTGAGCATACTGATCCTATACTTTCAGTCACAGTTTGGAGTTTTTGACACTTTATTCTATATGTGAAAAATAAAATACACTTTTTATTAATTTCAGAAATATAAAATTTCCATTGCTTCTTCTTATTCATTTAAACTTAATTTATACCATGCCTACTCTGCTTGCCTTTTCTAGAATGTTTCATGTTGTTACTCTGAGGTTCACACCTAAGGCTCATACCACGAAGCAAAGCCAGCTCAAAATAGCGGGATTAGTGCCAGCCTATCCAGTTTCTGTGTGTTCAGGGAAGTGGCAAGTTGATGAATTCATTCATCAACTGCATCAGGACACTGGACACTGATGAACAGCTCGACAGACTGTATTTTTCCCGAGCCACTCAGCATCCCCAATGGTAGGCAGAAAGCTGATGGTTCCACAGTGTCACATGTCCATAGATGCAGTCTATGTACTGCTGCAGATCGCATGGCGAACACACACACACATACATATATATATATATATATATATATATATATATAATATACTATATTAGGCGTTGAAGTACTACGTCTAGTCAACACTATTTGGGATAGCTCAGTCCCAAAATCATTTATCAATTTAGCATGTATGTAGTTGAATTTCACAAATACATAAAGGTAATTTTAAACAGTGTTACATTAGTTATAGGCAGTAAACTGGATGTGTAAGCTCATGTTGGCATCTAATATAATACATGAAAATCCTTCATCCTTTCTTTGTAGATATGTCCTTTTAAAATGAGAACTGCATCAACTGCTAAAAAAAAAACTGAATAATATGTGAATAAGTATTATTTTGTGATACAAAGGTACAATTACACCAACAAAACTTGAGTAATAAGGTATGGAGGCAAAGTCTTGAATATAAACTATAAAGGGACGTCTCAAACAAAAGGCTTCCTTGTTTGACAAACTGTAAATGAAAACTAAAAATAATGCAAAAGGTGACATGCTCATGTTCAATTGTAAACAAGTCTGAGCAACATAAGAATCATCTTATGGGAAGCAGTCAGGTACTATACCCAGAGGCGAATGTATTTTATATTTGACCTTGAGTTCTGTTTAGCTGTGACAGCCCTCTGAAGTAAAGAGCTGTTGCTGAACTACTGCCCCATATAACAAGTCCCCTACTACAGATCCTGTCTTTCAGTTTTTAACTTGACTCTCTCGTATAGACAGAAGCAATTGGCTGAGCTTTGGCTCCAACTAACTCTCTGTTTTTGCTTTCATCCTTTAGATGTAAAACTTAATGTTTTAGATGAAGCTAATAAAATAGCTTCTATTGTCAATAGCTGTCTACTTAGTCTATACCATAGAACGTATTACTGGAGCACTGTTTCTTTGTAGTTTCTCTGCAAATGTATGCAGTATGTACCCAGGGGGATGTGCCTCCAGTGATCTCCAGCACTCTTTAAGTGAAAGCAGGGAATACCCTGGACAGGGCAAGGCTAAAGAAAATTAATGATACAAATAATATAATACATGTAAGTCAGTAATTTAATGCGGTTGGCTGGATCTTCATACACAGAAATGCTTTTAAAATAATTGAGATCTGAAGTTTAAGGGTTTGTTACTGTACATAATGAAGATACATTAAAATGTATATAATGATCTTTAAATTATTCTGTATGATGGTTAATAATTTTTTTTTTGCAAACTGCCTTTAAATGACTTTTGTTGTGAATTTGAGCTATAGAAATGAACAGAACGGAAACTCAATGAACAGAAGGAAAAACTGAGAGACAATTTTGTTGAAGAAAAAGAATATAGTTGTAACGCTCCATCCTATTTGGAATTGTGTTTTGTTTGTTCACTGAAGTTCTTTAGGATATCAATGCATGAAGAATGCAAAAGTAGTTAGGTTTTCTTTTGTTGACTTTCATTTGCTTTAAACTCAACAGTTGCCATGGTAGAGACACTGAAAGGATAGCTGGCATCCTCCCCAGGAATAGAGGTCAGAGCAATGGGCGCAGTGAGTAACACCACCACCCACTACCACAGTCTGCGCAGCAGAATGTTATAGGGTGAAGAGCAAGCTGTCCTTCATAAACTAAGAGATATTAGGAATGAATGTGCAACCAGAAGGTTTTAATAAAGGTTTATAATATTCAATCACTTGTTCAACAAAATTTCAAAATGTCCCTTTAAATGCTAACAAAGTCCGTAAGCCATATCTGCTTTATGTCTTGTATCCTTTATTATTTACCATTTTAGTCCTGTTGTACAGTAATAACTCAATTGCTTCACTAATTAGTTAATTCTTGCAATGTTTATTTAATCTGATTTCAAAGTTTCTACAACCAGCTTTAAATAAAATTCCTCTTTAAAAATGTTTTGTTTTTTTGTTTTTTTTAACCAATTCCTAGTAATGAGTCTTTTTCAGTCCTGGTTTAATATTCATACTCATAGGACATGATCGGATAGTGTTATTATATTTCTATATACAGTAGAACATTCAAAAACAATTAATTATTTGGCCATAGCAATATATGAAACAGAAGAAATATTGAACACTTACCACATAATTACAAT